GCATGAGCACTACTTTGTTGTCGTTGCTTAAAAATGGCAAGAATGTAGACATGACATTTTGGATGTGACCTGAGTAGCTGAAAACCCTGTGCTTCATCCTGAGTTGTTTGATGTGGTGCCACGGGGCCACCTGCATGCCCCCCACTGTAGGAAGGCTGCCGCTTCTCCTCTGTGTGCATGCGCTCCTGGGAGGGTGCCGAGCCCCGGGCCATAGCTTAATCATTGGTAATTATAAGCTAATGTGTGCTCGTAGGAATAACGAACTATGAAGAATACTCACTAATCCAAGAAACCATGGACGAGAAGAAAGAGGAAGGAACAGGCACGCTCAAAAAGGACCGGACGCTGTTACGCGATGAGCGGAAAATGGAGAAGCTCAAGGCCAAGCTTCACACAGACGATGACCGTAAGTGCAGGAGGGGAGCCGGCCAGGCGGGCACGTGGGCATTGCCACGCCTCGCGCGCTCACAACACGTATGTGACCCAGGGCAGGGTGTACTTTCGTCTGTTACTTCCCCATGTCCGCTTCCCATGTTTAGATTTAAGTCACGAAAATATAAAGACTGAAGGGATTAAAAAGTCGCTCCATTTCATCATATTTTTAGAATCTCTTAATATCAGGTATGCCAAATGTGTTTATAATTTCTGTTATTTCCTCCAAATAGTTTCCGTTTGTTGGAACAGCGAGCCAATGAAGGCTGAGTGATATATTGCTTTATTCCGTTAATGAGTAGATTCCATCTCTTCTGTCTTTTCGGTGTGTGTGTGTGTGTGTGTGTGTGTGTGTAAACCAGAGTGTTAATTGTACAGTGCTTCCAATAGTCTGGATTTTGTTGTTGCATATCTGTGACACCATTTAACATGTTCCTCCCTCCTTTTAAACCCTTTGGACTGGTGGCTCATCAGGCTCAGGCCTGTGTGTTCATGAGTATGCATAAGTGTGTACGTGTGTCTAAGTGTGTATGTACACACACATGTGCATACGCACACACATATATTTAAAATAAAGTCTACCCCATCCGTTGTGATATGTACTTCTGTTTAGAAGTGAACAGCCATCGAGGACCATTGCTTCAATTCATTATTTCCTTCACTGGTTACACAATAGTCGCACGATTCTACCAGGAAAGTCTCTTTCTGTGGCCCTACAGTCAGGAGTTTTGAGGTTCGCTGTCATGGAGTTGGCTTTGACTCCCAGCCACCCTGTGCAGCAGAAGGAAGCCCACCCAGCCCTGGCCGCCCTCACGATTGTGCTCACGCCCGAGCCCATGGCTGCAGCCACTGGGTCCGTCCGTCCGTCTCGTCAGGGCCTTCCTCTCTCCCACGTCACCAAGCATGACGTCCTTCTCCAGGGCCTGGCCTCTCCCGACAGCATGCCCAGAGCACGGGAGACGGATTCTCACCATCCCCGCTCCTCAGGAGCATGCTGACTGTGCTCCTTCCAAGACATAGCTGTAGCTTCTTTTGGCAGTCTGCGTTAATATTGAATAGTAATTAATTTTTCACTTCCCATGAATTTCTTGAAACTCCCTCTGTGGCCACCCTGTGTGCACCAAAGCCCGTGCTGTGTGTAACTTGATGCCCGATCCGCCACAAAGTGGATCCTAATTGGTGCCGCAACTCACCTCTACTCACTGCCCCCGCCACTGCCTTCCCTTGGGCTGGCCTTGGCTGCTGCCGTGGGAAGATGGCACCATTGTCGTTGTGTCTGCGGATCTTCAGTAGTGCTGTCCGTCATTTCCGTTGACCCTCTGTTCTTTCCCTTTTCTCTCTGCCTCGTTTGGTTTCCAGTAGCACGCGTCTTTCTCAGCAAGGGAGGCTTGAAACAGACTCCAAGGATTTATTAATATGTGCGTGATACGCTCTTGGGCTTCATGGGAGATGAGGTCACTCAGACACAATCCCTGTTGCTGACAGCCTCAGGAGATTAGCAATGAACACTGGCCCAGGAGTGTAGGGAGGAGTGTAGCTGAGTGAAGCTATGTGGCCTGTCAGAAATGTTAGAGGAGTAGTTGATTCCAGTCGCCCTAGAGCCATGGTGGCTAACCAAAGGGTTGGAGGTTTGAATCTCCCCCGTGACTCTACAGCGGAAAAGGCCTGCAGTCGGCTCCCAGTGGGTAGCCATTGAAGATCACTGGGACCCTTCTGCTTGGTCTCAAGAAGCTGCTCTGAGTTGGAGAAGACCCAGTGGCTCCCTCCACCAACTGATTGCAGGCGTGCATTCTCAGGAGGGATGAAATCCGTGCTGGGCCCCGGGAGGATCTCTGCTCACCCCCCACCACTGTTCTGTGGATCCAGCACTCCCTCGTTCCCTCCTCTCATCTCTATCTTATTCTTTCTTCTAATTAGGGTCAGGGGGAACTCATTATGCTCAAAATTTGTAAATTATTTCAAATGGTGAGACTCTTACAGATCTGCTCCTGCTTTAAAGGAAATGCTTGATTATCTTAACACAGAGCCCTCATTACCTTCTTTCTCCCCCCAACTCCCCGCCCTCACCCACTGGGGGAGCACAGCAGAAATTCGATTGAAATGTGTTAGCCAACTCTAGGAATGGCTGGGGGTTCACCACACAGCAGACAGGAGATGAATTATTTAAAGCTAACAAACGCAGTTCTGATATAAGAAGCAATGGCAGCAGAATACGGCGTTCCAGAACACAGCCCGGTATCACTCCGCGGCTCGGGGCGCTCTCCTTGGATCCGGGGAAATATGAACGGCTCTTCCCTGTGCCTTGTGTTGCAGTCAATTGGCTGGATCACAGCCGGACGTTCAGAGAACAAGGAGTCGATGAAAATGAAACCTTGCTGCTTCGACGGAAGTTCTTTTACTCGGATCAGAACGTGGATTCCAGGGACCCCGTGCAGCTAAACTTGCTGTATGTGCAGGTACAGTATAGCAATCAGTGTGCAGCCCCGAGGCGGGTGAGGTTTCTGGCAGCTCCCGACGGTGCGCAGGAGCTCAGCTCCAGCTTTTGTTGTGTGTTTGGAATCCAGTTTCTAGCATATGTTGTCATGGCACCCATTTCTGGTGGACATTTCACACAGCTGCTGACCTCCCAAAATAGTGGCTCTCTTGACCTCCCAGTGGAACCTTGACTCTCTCTGCTGGGTGTTGCGAGGCGATTGTGTGGGACGGAACTGGTTCACTGCTTTTAGCATAATAATACTCTCTTGCCTGGCAGCTTAGACATAAAGAGAATATCAACCAGAGAAATCAGTATTTCTTATTAACTGAAAGATACCCTCTCAGTAGCCTTTTATGCCTTGACTATTAGTTAATTGTTCAAACTTGGGCAAGTCATTTAACTTATCTGAGCTGCAGTTTTCTGGTCTATAAAATGTGGGCTTTGCACTAGGGAGTCCCCAAAGTTTCACTCAACTCAAAGGAAACATAATTCATCTTTCTCTGTATTCCCACCTCATTCCCTTGTCCCCCCCTTCCCTCTTTCCGTTTATCGATCTGCCTTTCTGTAGCGACAGTGACAGTGTCAGCAAACGGCAGCCGTGTCTGCTGCCTGTGTTTATAAATAAAGTTGTGTTGGTATACAGATCTTTTGTTTTTATTGTTAACATATTGTCTGTAGCTGCCCTTACAGTCCAATGACGGAGTTCTGTGGTCGTAGTAAAGACCACAGAGATAGTGTGGCCCACAAGGTCCAAAAATGTACTGTCTGACCCTGTGTGAGAAAAGGGTGACTCCAGAGTTAGTTGACAGAAACGCAGCACGGAAGGAGGATGGGGAAGGCAGAGGCTGGAAGGCAGGAGATAGCAAGACAAGAAGGAAACACTCATTGCCGACGAAAGGCTTGGTGGGATCATTGAGATTAGCTGAGACAGGTAAGGAGCCCTTGTACTGTGGGCGAGGTGTGACGTTGGTGGCTCAGACCCACCAGCTTCTCAGATGAAGCAGCCTGTTCTCCTCGGGATTTATAGTCCTGGAAACTGTATAGGGTCACCAGGAGCTGGGATGGACTGAAGGAGTGGGGGTGGCAAGCGACAGAAGGACAGACAGGAGAAGGATGCATGAGGCCATTACAGAGGTGGACTGAGGTGGACACTGAGTTCCCAGTTCCAGGGCTGTGCAACGCTTGTCAGCCCCCAACATGCCTTGGGTATTGAATTCTTGCCTGTCTGGGTTGGTCTCTAGCCCTCCCCACCTTCTTTACCTTGGAATGGAGGATGGGTTTTGAACTCTAGGTATTTTGTCTGCTAACTTTGTGATGTAGAGGTTCATAAAAAGTCAATTGAATTTATATCCCGGCCTCTACGAATCTGCTGATTTAACCAGGGTTTTCCTCTGTGTCTACTTTTCATAACCACTCCTGCCTTCCTAGGTTACAATCAAGCTGTGCTTTTATGTGCTGCGCGTTGCTGCTGTGTTCCGTCTCTAGGCGATTTGGGGCCAAGAGGTGTTTTCCTTTTGCCTTTGTTCTCCTGCGCGGCCGACAGACATGCACAGCATCCTGAGAGCATCCCTGTGCGTGCGCTGGCGCATTGCCCCTGTGCACCGCAGAGAAGGCGTGCTCTGGGGTGGGGTTTGTCTGTGGAGAGCGTGAACCGTTTCTCCAAGCTTCTGATGCTTCCCCTCCTCTTGTCTTTCAGGCTCGGGATGACATCCTGAATGGCTCCCACCCTGTCTCCTTCGAAAAGGCTTGTGAGTTTGGTGGATTTCAAGCCCAGATACAGTTTGGACCTCATGTGGACCATAAGCATAAACCTGGATTCTTAGAGTAAACAACCTTTCATTTATTAATTACCTTTATCTCTTTTCCTCTTCCTTTTTTCCTCCCGTTTATTTTTTGAGCTCGCTACTCAAAGTACATACAGGTGTCAATCAAATGTGAAAACCCTAGCTTTTGTCCCATTGAGTATATAATTTGCAGACCTCAAGAAAAGCAAAGGTGACTAGAAATGTGGTGTTGGAAGTATGACTGTAAAGCCTAGTTGTTACCAGTCCAGGGAGTGGGTGCCTTCTCTGGTCAAGGAGACCCAGGAGTTCAGAAACTTACTTTCCTCCGTGTTCTGAAAACTGCCTATGAGAAAATTCCTTGTTCATACTGGACCTATATTCCATTGTCTTGATTATTTCCCCTCCAGATTCCTGTATGAAAGCCGCAGAGTATAGACGAGAGAACATAGCTGTGTTATGACGGTCTTTCCGTGTTTTTGTTGCTCTGAAAGTGAGATGTGTACATGAAACACTTGCCCCATTCTTTTCACTCATCTGACTTTGGGTTCTCTTTTATAGAATTATGGGAGGGGCTCTTTCTGGCTTCAGAGTTCTAGGTTCAAGAGAAAGCTAATTTATTCAAATGATCACTGCTCCAAAGATCATGGACCTCAGTTGACTTTTCTGGAAATGCCCCACAGCACAATTCTGGCCTTCCCCTTGCTATTTGTCACGGTCATCTCCACCCCTCTTCTTTGATATTCAGATCTCCAAGGCTTTGGTATCCTTCTTCCACTGGTAACTCTCTCTCTTTAAACCTGTTTTCCTTCTATATATCCATCTTCTATTCTCTTGCTACTTCATTTTAGAGCAGGTGAAATTTGGATGGATGGTATAAAACCAAACAAAATGAACACCACCAACCAAACATTACTCTGGGTCACTGTGGGAAGATCATGCAACCTTTAGAGGCTTTGGAGAATGTTTGGAGCTTGGGATAGGCACTCAGCTGTGGGTGGGAGGACGTGAGCTTTTAATGGACGGTGTGCAGGCATGAGATGTGCTGAAAACATCATCAGTTGCACTGTGCCTAAGTGTATCAAAGGAATAAGATCATGCCTACTTTAAAAAAAAAAATCATTTTATTGGGGGCCCGTACAACTCTTCTCACCATCCATCCATCCACCGTGTCAAGCATAAAATCCCAGCTTTAACTTCTGTTCAGTGTAGAGTGAATTGTTTTAAAAAATAAACTAAATGGAAAAGGGCAAAATCAAACCCCACCCTACCCTTGGGCTAATGCATCCCTGGGAGACTAAAGTGAGGCTCTCCCCTCCGCTGTGCCGTGCCTGGCCATGCTCCTGAGAATAGCTTGGACTCTGTTCTAGATGACCACTCGGCAATCTCTTATCCAAAAGAGTCATATGGCCAAGGGCTCTTCAGGGCTCATTCAAGCCTGACCTCCCTGGTGTCCTTCCTCCCGGAGCCGCGGGAAGCTGCCCTTTCTCTTCTCCTTGGCCCCAGAGGTCTTAGGAAAGACCGTGCACATATGCGCTGTGACCTTGTCCCCACGGCTCCCCCTTAGATACATTTGGTGCCGTCAACCTGAGAAGAATAGCCAGGGAAATTGAAAAAGATACTTTAAGAATTAGGCCCAGCAGGAGGCCATGCAATTTCTTTCTATCTGCTTCTATGAGGGATGGGTGGAGAACAGGTGAAAGTGGAGGGGAGACTTTTATGGACCAAATATTTTAAAATAAAAAGATTTGCCTGTTTTGACACTTTCCTAGCTGTAAACCCACGTGATGTGGCCCTCGTGGGAAGGAGATCCACAATGGACATGCGGCTGGAACCCAAGCCTAGTCGTAGGACGATGATCCCCCGGCTGTTTGATTAATTCCTCTTCTCCGGAGGTCTGGGGCAACTGATTTTCAGGTCCCGGATGTGGAAGGAGGCACAGAGAGAATCGCTTCCACAGTTATTGTTAGCCTCTGTCAAGTCAACGGGGAGATCCCTCTGCGCAGAGAGACCCCATGTGCAACAGAATCCAACTGGTGGGACCCACAGGGTGTGCATTGACTGATTTTCTGAAGTAGATTGACAGGCCTTTCTTCCCAGTTTGTCCTAGTCTAGACACGCCCCTGACACCCGACTCCACATGCTAGTGGCTCATAATCCACTGTGCCCACCATCAAACCCAGGGTCTCCCGACGGGAAGGCACCAGTGTTCACCTCGAACCACCCTGGGCCAACATGGGCTTGTTCAGGTATTGAAAGCATTTTTCTGCCAGTGGCTTCTGGCTTCTCTCATTGAGCGCTGTCTTTTTCAAAGGCATTCCTGCATTCAGGACCAAGTTGCCCCTTTCACTGGTCTCAAAATAAGCGGCCAAACGATACTTACAAAGGCGGTTACACAGCCCTCTTCTCTCTCCCGGTGGCTGGCCCCGGTTGTGCAGCCTGTGCCCAGGGAACGGTTCCGTGCCCGCTGCCTGCTTGTGCCAAGGTTGCAAAGCAGCCGTGGAGGGCTGGCCGTTGGCATGGACTGTGTGCCTTGTGATTTCTGGCTGTGCTAGGTATGGCGGACCCGCCCTCATTAATAAGGCCCCTTCTCTTAATAATCTGGATGGCAAAGGCAAAGCAGTTTTAATCAGTCGGTTCTCCTGCTCCTCACACTGTACCATGAGGCTCATGCCTCCCGTGACAGCGCTTGCTCGCGTCCTCAGATTCCAAGTGGAAACAGTTCTTGTGGCTGCTGGCAATTGTTTTTCTGACCCATTTGATTTACTTTTTAATTAAACCAAATCTACTCGAGGCAATGAGGCATTTTCACTTAACGTACATATTTAATTGTAGACATGATTGTGCCAGCCACACAGGTAAAACTGCCCAGGCTATACTTTAATAATAATAACAACTTTATTATTAATAATCATCTTACTTTACTAATAATCACAAAACACACAATGAGGCCACAGTTCCCTGATTTGAAGGTCCAGTTCCGGGAGAGACATCCCAGAGCTGTCTCTCACAACTGGCTGGGCCATGTTTTCCAAGCTTTCCGTTTACCCCATGTCGCTTGCACGGGTGCGTTCTGCAACGTTGAAGCGGGAAGAGGAGGAGGTGCGGGGGCTAAATGTGTCAGGCTCCGGTTGAAGAGACAAGACAGGCAGCGGTTGCAATCGCACTGTTTCTGCATGAGATTGAGAATGTTGGCTTTTCCTCCCAGAGGAAAAGTTATCATGCTCAAAGTCAGCATGGCGGGCACGTTTTTTTTTTTGTGAGAATCCCTTTCACCTTCCTTCAGTCTCTTTAACAACCTCTTGATTCAGAATAACAGAAAGAAGCTGCTGGAAAGCTGTCCGAGTTTTCAGGATTTTAAGGCTGATGTAATGCATCCCAGGTGCTGTTTTAAAAGCGAGCCCTCCCTGCTGTCTAGTCAGTTCTGCTCAGAGTGAGGCTGCAGGACCGAGTGGAACTGTCGCTTTGAGCCCACAAAGATGCCCATCTTTACAGGAGCAGAAAGCCTTATCTTGCTTTCTGGGCACAGTGGGTGGGTCCAACCCATTACCCAACCCCTGCTGCCAGTGCTCCTCCCAGTTACTGTAGAGATGGGGGGCTGAGTCCGAGAATCAGGAAGAGGGAAGGCACGGAACGGGGCGGAGCTGGGAGGAACTCCCCAAAGCAAATTCCCGGCCCTTGAGTTGATTCAGTCACTCAGTAGAACAGGGTAGCACTGCCCCCGTTGGGTTTCGGAGACGGAAACTCTTTCCTGGAATCGAAAGCCTCATCTTTCTCCAAGGAGCAGCTGGTGGTTGCAAACTTCTGCCCTCTGGGTTAGCAGCCCAACGTGCAACCACTAGGCCACCAGGGCTCCCTGGAAAAGAGGCCGGTTCTCTCAAATCAAGTGCCATGTGCTTATCCACAAGGCCCCTTTCCTCAGGTCACCTCCCAGCAGTCCCACAAAGGGACGTCTTGTTGAAAAATGAACTATGCACAACACATAGAGCAATAATAGGACATAGACTCATGTTCCTGTGTGTTCACAAAGAGTTTGCAAGAAAATATGCCTCCCCTCCCCCTCTTATTGAGGACTTAAGGGAAACACCGAGATACTATACTAAATCCTTGATGTTTTTGCGTCTCTAGACTACTTGTCAAATAAACTTATGAAATGGTCATTATGAATAGTCAAAATTTGGCTTTCATTATGCTAACCAAGTCCTGCCTTTTAACTGTTTTTAAGGACAGGGTGGTCTATTTGGGAGGCCAGAAGTTGCAGTCGGAGTTGTGAGGACTACTGTGAATTGTTTGTAGGCTGGCCAGGGGAGGATGGAACAAGAAGTGATGCCAGCCCAAGAATGTGGTAAAATAGAAGGACACGCGAAAGAAGAATTAGCTTTAAGAGCAGCAATAGCAAAACATTATAGTAATGACCAATTTCCGAAGCCTTACAAACATGGAAGCAAACTTCCAAGTGGAAGTGATTACAGTCAAAGTCTCCTATGGGCCGTACTGTAAGGGAGGAGGTTAGAGAAGTGAGATGCTTCAGGTCTTACAGCAGATACAGGTGATACCTTTGAAGGTAGTTCCGGGAGGTGGGACTGGAGTGTTCACAAATCGTTCAGCTTGTTTGTATATTTGAAATTTGTCATAGTAAAATGTTGAGGAAAATTAAAGATAGCCAAATAGGAGAGAAATAGTGCAATTTCCAACAATAGCAAAACATTATAATAATTTAGGAATATAGATGCTCTCCTTGCAAACAATGATAACAAACTAACTCGAGCGTGGCATATGTGTATGTGTAAATACAAGGTACCATAACTAAGTAGGACTTCTTTCAGAGATATAAAGTTCATGGATTCAACCAGTTATTTTTAGTATCAGTATCTTGTGTTTAAGGTGGGGTGGGGGGTGGGGGTGTCACAGCAGTTAGGTTCCTGTAACACGATCTACCTCAGTTGGCCAGTGACACTGGTTATCTTGTCCTAACATGTCATCACTCATTCACCCTGTCTGGTTGGGCTTTGGCGTCCCTGCCCTCTTGCCCTCTCATCTTTGCTGTAGAGTGGTTGTTGACCATTTGGCCTCATCTAGCTGGTTTTACAAAGGAGAGCATTACTCATGGATGACAGTCTTCATTTATGAGCCAATCTGTTGTTTAGCTCACAGGTGACGTTAAGGGGTAATTTTGGTTTAAAGTTTAAAACTCTCTCAGGGTAGCCTCAGGTGGTCCTCGACACTTAACTGGTCCAATAAGTCTGGAGTTATTTGAGATCTTTCCCACATTCGTCTCACATTCTGCCAGGATCCTTGTATAGTAATCCTAATCACAGTGTTTGGTAGTGGTAAGCAGGCACCATCTAGTTCTTCTGGTCTCAGATAGGTTAGACGACAGGCTGTTTCGATAAATGCCCTACTTTCATTTCTGAATCTTTGGTTTCCTCCTT